CCTGACTTCACACCCATCTCTCTTCCTTACTTCCTGCTCTGCAGATGGAAAGTCTCAGCATCTGATTGGAAAGTAGATGCCTTCCAAAGGCTAACATGAGCACACATGCATGTAATATGCATGATTTTTTGTTTAAAAATTTTTTTTAATGTGTCTGAATATTTGCCTATACGTATGTATGTGTACCACATGCATGCAGTACCTGTGGAGGTCAGAAGAGGGCATCAGATCCCTTGGAGCTGGAACTACAGGTGGTTGTAAGCTGTCATGTGGGTGCTGCGAACTGAGCAGTTGTTCCTCTTAGCCCCTGAGCCATTTTTCCAGACCATCATTTTTTAAAAATATATATTACATGCTGACATAGTTGCATAATAGCTATAATTTACAACCAAAAATACACACATATATTCTAATTGCACTCAGATTAATAAAACATGAGGAGCTGGGATGAAGCTCAATCAGTAAAGTGCTTGCTTAGCATTCACCAAGGTTTGATAAACCTGGTACAGTAGAGTACACCTGTAATTCCAGCACTCAGAAGGTGGAAGCAGGAGGACCAGAAGTTACATACTGTTTGAAGTGAGATTGAGCAACACAAGACCCTCTAAAAAAATAGAACTTGATTCCATTTATGGGTCTTCCTACAGTGCCCAGGCTGGCTGCAAGCTTAAATGACTCCTCTGCCTCAGACTCCCAAGTAATTGGGACCAAGAACTGGGTATGTAGGTCAGTTAGAGTGCTTGCCTAGCATGTGCAAGGCATTGCATTTAATCTCTAGCACTACTAAGGAAATAAAGTGATGTCTAAATAGCTTGGGTTAAAGTTATACATTACATATCCAGCCCACTTTCAAAGGATGGTTTTTTAAATTGAATTTTTGAGAATTTCATACAATATATTTTGATTATATTTATATTCCCTTCCATATCTGTACCCTTACTAGCCCCCCCCCACCAAATTTCGTGTGCATATATATATACACATATATAATACATATATGCCTATAGAGTCAGGTTTGTGCCCCCACATGAGTTGAAGGACAATTTTAACTACAGGGGAGATTGTTGGGGACCCCTGCTGTTAGGGTTGCAGTCTCTCCATGTCCAGATAGCCGCGAGCCGGCTCGGCGCATAATGGAAAGACTCCCCTTTTCAGCGGGGCGCCTCCTACTCTCTTCCTGACTCACCTTTGAAGTGCCCATCACAGATGCCTTATCGGAAACATGACCTCTGGCATAAAAACTACTGGGTTTTTTTCCTATATGATACTCAGGCACTGTCTGACAGCATAGAAGCCCACCGCCTCATGTAAATAAAGCATACTACAGAGCACCTATCAGCTGAGGCTTTTGCTACTGCCTCCACACTATAAATCTTCTAGTTTCACCCTAATAAAGCGGAGCTGTATTACTGAGATCATTGAACTTGGCTGATCTGTGTCTCACTGCGCCTGCGACCAGCCTGTGATTCAGTCTCCCCAGAGGAGCTGTCCCCCGTCAACATTTACTCGCGAAGCTTCTGCGTTCGCCGTTCCTGCACCTCCCCCGACCTCGTGGTTCGGTGGCCAACGACCACAGGCACAGGGGGAGCCTCCCGCAGCTTGGCACAGAGCCCCCTGCAGATTGGCGCAGCCCACCCGGCAGCTTGCAGCGACCCGCAGAGCCGCCAGTGCCCGGCAGCCTGCCTTGGCACAAAATCTGCACTCCTCACCGCGGACCCGCCGATCTGCAGAGCCCGTCTGCACTCCCAGGTGCGGAGAGCCAGAGACCCGCCCAGCAGCGCGAGACCTCCCCCAGCCAACAGGAGATCTGCATTCCTATGATGAAGGTCACCCTTGAATGACATAGAACTACTGGGTTATGACTCAGTAGAGAAAAGATCAAGACTAATCAACTCACTGTTTTTTTTGTTGTTGTTTTGTTTGTTTTGTTGTTGTTCCTGTCAACAGAGAAGTGAAGTGCCTCAATGTGTTGTTTTCTTTTGCTTAACATGGAGTCTTGCTGTGTAACCCAGGCTGGCCTCAAACTCCCAATCCTCTCACTTCAGTCTCCCAAATGGGAGTACTGCAAGCATGTGTCACCATACCTGTCTGAAGTGACTTTTTTTTGAGATATGGTCTCATGTAGTTGGCCTCCACCTTGTCATATATCTGAGGATAACCTTGAACTCCTGATCCTCTTGTCTCTACCTCCCAAGTGCCAGGATTACAGGTATGTACCACTGCCTTTGGTTTATGCAATGCTGGAATTGAACCCAGGGCTTCATGTATGCTGTGCAAGTACTCCACCAACCGACCTACTTCCTCAGTCTGAAAAAACCCTTTGTATACATGATCTAAGAGATGTATACTGTGGGGCTGGAGAGATGGCTCAGCAGTTAAGAGCACTGGCTGCTCTTCTAGGGGACCCCAGTGCAGTTCCCAGAACCCACATGGAGGCTAACAACTGTCTGAAACTCCAATTCCAGGAGATCCAACTCCCTCTTTTGGCCTTTGCAGGCACTGCACACACATGGTGTACTTACACACACGCAGGCAAAACACTTATACACATAAAATAAAAATAAATAAAAATTTTAAAGAGAGGGGTGAGTGTGGTGGCACACGCCTTTAATTCTAGCATTTGGGAGGCAGAGGCAGGCAGATTTCTGTGGGTTCAAGGCCAGCCTGGTCTGCACAGTGAGTTCCAGGCCAGCTGGGGCTACAGGGAGACCCTGTCTTAAAAAGATGAAAAAAAAATTTTTTTAAAGAGATATATATATTATACCCAAAGGTCTGTCCAGCAGCTTTTTCTTGGAGCTCAATACTGACCTCTTTAGGAAATAGAGAACTCACTAGGATGTTCATCAGCTTGTCAACCAGAGCTCTGTTGACAACAGCCAGAACACTGAAGGAGGAAAGACCATCTCTGCTGTCTATTTCTCCATTCTCCCTGTCTCCAAATTTATTAGCCAATACACATTCGAGATGTATTTTGAAGTAAGCACTGTTAGATAATAAGATGACATTGACAAATCCTACCATAGAGAAGTTCACTTTTCATATTAGGGACAAAATATATAGTACATGGCAACTTGTCCAGAATCACAGACTCTGACACTGCTGTGGAAATAAGCCTCCCCATATCTCATTCCTGTGAACCTGTGTTCACAAATTCTTTGTACAAAAAGATACTCTATAAGCAAACTTCATTTGAATCTCTGTTGAGCTGGGTACCAGAATCATAGCTCTGGATTGCTTCAGACAAATTGGCCTCCTCTTCTCTCTCTATTCTGGGAAGGAGCTGGCATGTGCGTGTATGTGTGTAGGGGAGAGGTGGTGGTGCTTGGTGAGCACGAGTGCAGTTTCTGTGATGGCCAAAAGAGGGCATAATATTCACTGGAGCTGGAGTTATAGGTGATTGTGAGTTACCCTAGTGGTTGCTGGGAACCGAACTCTCATCTTTTGCAAGAGCACTACACATTCTTAACTGCTGGGCCATCTCTCCATTCCCTATTTACCTTACCTCATTATACAGAGGAGGAAACGGAGATCAAAAGAGGTTAGGTGATTGGCCAAAGATCATAAACCTAGTAAATGGTGAAGCCGAGCTCAAAAAACTTTGCAAATGGTGAAGCCAGACCCCTGGACTCTTCCTATTACTCTTACAGGAGCATAAACATGAAGAAAAAGGAAAGAACTTAGCCTGAGTTTTCAAATTGTGTTTTCTAGAGTTCCAAAGTTCTAGACCTTTGTTTTAGTTTTCAAGAGAGGTGAGGATAGTGAATAACTCCTGCAAAAGGCCAAAGGAAGGTACTCTTGGGCTTCCCTGCCTCTATAGTCTACCACTTGGTTGCTAATACAACCTTTGTGAAGTCCCCAGAAAGCCAAGCGTGGTGGCACAGGTCTATCACATCAGCACTTGGGGGTTAGCCTGGGTTGCATAGTAAGAGCATCTCAAACAACAAAAAATTAAAAAATCAAAAAAAGAGAAGTCCTCATAAGACTTCTGGGGAGCAAAGGGTATGTGGGTTAGCCAGACCTCTGCTACCTTGTTTTTGAAAAATTATTGCTTTAATGCCCAAACATATATTTCTAGTGGGAGAATCTCACCCATTTAGATAAGCTAAGTGGAGAAGGGAGAATGAGTAAAGGAAGCAGTTACTTATTGACTATGTAGCTCGTTGTCTCGTTTAATTCTTAAAGTGAACCTCCACTAGGCAGGAATTAACCAATAATCATTTTACAAATAAAAGGCTGGAGAGAGGTTCTTTTGGGGATTGGTCCAACGTCTCACATCTAGTGGCAGCACCAGGTTGCTACCCAGATCTGTCTCATGTCCAAATCCCAACACATGGCTTCTCTAAACGTAAAGGATATCTATACTGCCAGGTTGGATGTGGGGGTTGCGTCCGGGTTCTAAATCACATCTGTGATAGACTAGGCAGCTCAAACCCAGATTTTCTTGAGTTTGGCCAATTGGTCTGCTGCAAGGATTTGGACTGCGAGTATAAGACCTAAGGAGCACTCTCAATTATGTCACAATCTACGGGACCCAAAGGCAAGGTAATCATCACCTGAGAAACGGCAACTGGTGCAAACGCCACACGCACATTGAGCTGGAACTACTGGGTAAGGCACAAACCCACCGAGGTAGTTGACACTGGCGCCATTTGTGGTGTCTGCAATGGGGATTCAAAAACGATGTAAATGGGTCAAGCTCCAGAAAGAATGCATGCCCCATCTTCACCTGCTTTTTTTTTTTCTGTGCGCGTTCACACTACAAAAATACAGTATTCGTGGTTACATTTCTCTTGACACTCGCAGCCTTCTGTTTTATACAGGATATATATTCAGAAACCAATAAAAATAATAAAAATTAAAATCCCGACCTAACTTTCTTACCGCGTACAAGAAACACCACAGCCCACAAAAAAAGGTAGGAACGGGACCTACCCGGACGTCGCGCAAGACGACGCCGCACGGCAGGTTCTTCTTCCGGGTCAGGAGCAACCGCTTCCGGGCCAGCGGCAACCGAGACGGAAGTGCCCTCTTTCCCAAGGCTGCAGTCTCTGGGCGGGCGGGGAGGCTCCCGAGGTGGGGGCCGGGCCGGAATGGCGGCAGCGGCGGCCGGGACGGGGACTTGGGCGGCCCAGGAGAAGCAGTTTCCGCCTGCCCTGTTGAGCTTCTTCATCTACAACCCGCGCTTCGGTCCCCGCGAGGGAGAGGTACGCAGCTGGGGCGGCGCGGGCGACTGAGGAGGGTCCTGGGCCCGGCGACCCGACAGGCGTCAGTGCGTCGGGCGGCTCCGGTCATTCCTCCCGGTTTTGACACAGGCTGTCTTGTCAGGTGTTGCGCCGGGCCAGGGGATATGGCTGACACCTGACAGCGCAGGCTGGCCCGGTTTCCGTTCCCGGATCGAAGCCTTGTCAGTGATGGTCCGTCAGATTAATCCCTCCGCTCAGGTTGACTGTCTCCCTTTTGTCTCAGTTCTGGGGAATTAAAATTGAACTTGTCTTTACTAGTGAAAAATCTTCAAGTGAAAGTGTGAAATCAGATTGGTGGACTATAGACACCACCCCAAGAAAAACTAAAACTTGGAGGACTCTCAGAAAGTTAATTGTCCACCCCCAAATTAGTAAATTATAAGAGTTTTGTTTTGTAAGCCGGGCGTGGTGGCGCACGCCTGTAGTTCCAGGACTTGGGAGGCAGAGGCAGGCGGATCTCTCTGAGTTCAAGGCCAGCTTGGTCTACATAGTGAGTTCCAGGACAGCTACAGGGAGATCCTGTCTCAAAAAGACCAAAAAAAAAAGTTTTATTTTGTTCTGAGTTGAGGCTGGTGACTTCCTCAGAGCATGTCCAAACCTATGTTTTGTTGCCAGCAAATCACAGTCCTGTTTAGAGGCTGTCAGTCCAGTTGTCCCGAACCAGTTGGGTTTAATTTGCCACAGGCAGTATTCGTATACACCTGCATACAGGCTTTTTTCTTGAAAGTTTTGGTGTATCACAAATGACACCCAGAAAGAAATCAGAGATTTTGATTAAAATGATCATGTACTATTCCAGACCAAATGTGATTTAGTGAGTTTCACAGTTGGCCCTTAGGACTGGTGGGTGGAATTTACACAAGGATGATAAGGCAATTTCTGGTTTCCTAAAGACTTTTTGTGCTTTTGTTTGTTTTGCCCCTCGAATATATGACCGGAGAGGTAGATGTTAAACTTAACACTTTCAGCAGCTAAGAAGAAATGCTTATATTCCTGTTCCTGTTTCTTCATGCCTTAGGAAGAAAATAAAATTTTGTTTTATCACCCAAATGAAGTAGAAAAGAATGAAAAAATTAGAAACGTTGGATTATGTGAAGCCATTGTACAGTTTACAAGGTAATGGTTTGAAACATGTCAGTGAATTCTTGCAACTTGGACTGGAGTTGTTCCAAACATGTTCTTTTAACTTTTGTTTTTAAAGGACCTTTAGCCCATCAAAACCTGCAAAATCTTTACATACACAGAAGAATAGACAATTCTTCAATGAACCGGAAGAAAATTTCTGGATGGTCATGGTATTTACATGCACAGTATATCTTATGTTGTATAGTAAAGTTATGGGGGATCTTTATCTTTAAGGAATTATGGTAAAATTGGTTGCAGTTTAAAAATCAACTTTCTGATCAGCTTGGAGCTGTTTTGAAAAAATTGTTTCTCGGGGTTAGAGAGATGGCTTAGCAATTAAGAACACTGACTGCTCTTGCAGAGGACCCAGGTTGGATTCCCAGCACCCACATGGTGCCTGACAACCATCCACCATCCATAACTCCAGTTCCAAGGGATCCAGCACCCTCTTCTGACCTCTGTAGGCATAGCAAAACACAAGTACACTTACATGCAGACAATACACTGACACATAAAATAGAAATCATAAATAAAAATAATATAGAAACTATTTCTGGATAGGGATGTAGGTAGTGGTAGAGTGCTTGCCTAGCATGTACAGGTCACGGGATTCTATTCCCAGTAGCATAGATGAACAAAAGAAGTTATGTGTCTGGTGGCATAACAAGTTCGTTGTGTGTGTGTTTGTATCTGTGGATGCACATATGTGCATGTCAAGGCCCAAGGTCAACCTCAAGTGTTCCTTGGGAGTTGGGTACTTGGTTGTTGTTTTTTTCTTTTTTTTTCCCTTTTTAATAGAAATTTTTTGTGAATTTTATACAATATATTTTGATCACATCTAGATCTCCCTCCTCTAAATACACTTCTTTACTTTCCCCTCCAAATTTCCTGTATTCTAATACATATATTACATTACATTACATTACATTACATTACATTACATTACATTATATTATATTAAAACCTACAGAGTCAGGTTTATGTCCTCAAATGCCCTTCAGTGTGAGTTCATCCACTATAGCCTGGTCGACCTACTTAAGAGTCTTACTCTCCGACAAGACTGAATCTTCCCCTCCCAGCAGCCATTGATTGTCAATAGTTCCTCAGGTAGGGTTGGGGTTTCTTATCAGCTTCCTCATATCTATGCTGGGATTTTGTCTGGTTGAGCTTATGTGGGATTTGTGCATGCTGTCACCATTGCTGGGAGTGCAGATGAGTCATTGACCAGCAGTCTGGAAAACTCAGTTTCCTTGCAGTCATCTACTTCCTCTGGCTCTTACAATCTTTCCACCCCCACCCCCCATTCTGAAATGAAACCTGAGTCTTGGGAGGCAGAAGTTTGATTTAGGTGTCCTATTCATGGGTAAGCACTCTGCAGCCTTTCATTCTCTGCACATTGGCCAGTTGTAGGTCTTTGTGTTAATCACCATCTCTTGTATAAGGAAGCGTCTCTGCTAAGAGTTGAGAGATGCATTAATCTATGGGCATAACAATAAGTCATTAGGAATCAGTTTAATACTGTATCTGTTTAGCAGAAAATTGTATTGGGCTCTCTCCTGTGGCCTGAGGGCTATCTAACCTTAGTTTTTAGGTCTGATACCAATGTCAGATATGGGCTCCATCCTATGAAGCAGACCTTAAATCCAATTAGAAAGCAGTTGGTTGCTTCTATAGTAGTCTTATCACAATCGCACCAGTGGGCAAACCTTGCCAGACCAGTTGTTGTTATAGCTTGCAGAATTTATAGCTGGGTAAGGTTGATGATAAATTTTCTTTTCAGGTAGCTTTCACAGCACCTTCCAGCATTATGAAAGCTAGCCAGTAGAGATGAGGCTCTGAAGTCAGCACCAGCTTGATTTCTCCTTGTTCTGCAGTATGTATATGTAGTGTCTTTAGCAATAGGGTCTTACCATGAAGTTATGATGGGTAACCAAGAGCAGGGGAAAAGGTCAGTATTGTTTGAGGGTATTTGGACCCCTGGTCAATAGCTTCAAAAGAGGGAGTCCATATCTGATAATGGGCTTTTACTTTGCTAGCCTATGATGTCTATTAGGGGACAGTATCCCCCAGTTATAAGGTACTCTTAATCTCTTTATAATGTTGCACCTGGTTTTTTGTGTAGGGTCTCTCACAAAGACCTGAGGCTCACCAATTGAGCTAGGCTTGCTAACCAGCAAGCTCCAGGGAGCCATGTGTCTGCCTCCCCAAGGCTAAGATTACAAGCATGCCACCATGCCCAACTTTGTACATGGGTGCTAGGGATTGAACTCAGGTCCCTTTGCCATCTCCCCAACTCTCTCAATAATTTTATCTATTTTTCTTTTTTCCCTCCCTCCCTGTCTCCCTCCCTCTCTCCTTTCCTTTCTTTGTTGGGGGCGGGGGTGCCACAGCATATGTATAGAAGTCAGTAGGCAACTTGAAGGTATTCATTCTCTCCTTCCACCTTGTGGGTCCCAGTGATTGAGCTCAGGTCATCAGCCTTGGAGATAAGCACCTTTACCTGCTGAGCCATCTCATGTTTTGTTACTGGAGATCAAACCCAGGCATATGCCTGGCAAACATTCTACCACTGAACTCTATTCCCAGCCCCAGATTTTTAAAATTTGAGAAGATTGAAAACATGTAATTGGTGGGTGTGGTCTTACATGCCTATAGTCCTAGCACTTGGGAGGCAGAGGCAGGTGGATCTCTGTGAGTTCCAGGAGAGCTGGGGCTTACAGGGAGACCCTGCTTCAAAAAGACAGAAAAAAAAAAAACAAAAAAAACAAAAAAAAACAAAAACAAAATGCAATCAAGTTATTGTCTGATTTGAGTTTATCAAACTTCATAGGTGGTTCGGAACCCTCTCATTGAGAAGCAGAGCAAAGATGGAGAACCAATTGTGGAATACCAAGAGGAAGAGCTATTGGTAATGTGGCATTCTTATTTTATCTTTTTAGGAAATGGGCTCCTGAATATGTTGAGTGACTTAGATTGAAACCAGGTGGCTTTTAAGAAGTTGGTTGTGCTACACAGGAAAGTCTGTGTTTATTGTTTAATTAGCATAATCTTTTAAATATGCATAAGTACCCTGTCTCATTAGTACTTGCCACTGATCATCTGTGTGTGAAGCCTTTCTAAAGTAGGCTTATTGGTTTGTGCATTTGACTTCTTTTACATGTATTTATTTATTGAGGGGGCATGCTGTGGTGGATGTGTGGAGCCCAGAGGACAACTTGTTCTCTCTTTCCCACTATATGGGCTCTGGAAATTGAACTCTGGTTGTCGGGCTTGGCAAGTGCCTTTACCCACTGAATCATCTCACCAACTTTTTTTTGTTTGTTTTGTTCTTTTGAGACAGGGTCTTCCTGTAGTCCCAGCTGGCCTAGAACGCACTGTGCAGACTTAGCTTGGCTTTGAACTCACAGAGATCTGCCTGCCTCTGCCTCTCAAGTGCTGAGATTAAAAGTGCACCACCATTCCCAGCTCACCAGCTGGTTTGTAAATTGGAATGTAAATGTCTGTTATTTTCAGCATACAACTATCACAGGACCAAGTTTATCATAGTCATGTGGCTTTGCCAAGAGTCAGTGTGCATGTCCTGTCCCCTTAAATACAGTGAGACTCTTGCTGTTTTCTTGTTCGCAGGACAAGGTCTACAGTTCAGTGCTACAGCAGTGCTACAGCATGTACAAGGTAAGTGGGTCCTTCTTTTGAACTGAGGGCCCATCCAGTTCACCCTGTTTATCGGTTCAGACATACTTAAAAACAGGTTTGTTTTGTTTTGTGAGACACAGTTTCCCTCTGTAGCCAAGGCTGACCTCAAACTCCTAATCCTCTGCCTCAGTGTCCTGAATGTTGGAATTACAGGTGTATGTACCATGTCTAGCTTTAAAAGCCATTCTTTTTTCTTTTGCAGTACTGGGGATCAAACCCAGGCCTCACACATATTAGGCAAATGCTCTACCACTAGGCTACATCCCCATCTTTAAATTTTTTTAAATTATTTTTATTTAAAAAATTATTTATGGGACTGGAGACATGGCTCACAGAGAACTCAAGTATGGTTCCCAGCATCCATGCTGGATGGCTCACAAACTGCCTGTCACTACAGTTCCAAGGGAATCCAATGCCTCTGGCCTCTGTGGGCATCTGGACTCAGATGCACAAGCCACCATAAAAATACAAACACAGCCAGGCCTGGTGGCGCACACCTTTAATCCCAGCACTCTGGAGGCAGAGGCAGGCAGATCTCTGTGAGTTCAAGGCCAGCCTGGTCTACATAGTGAGTTCCAAGACAGCTGGGACTACAGGGAGACCCTGTCTCAAAAAGACCAAAAAAAATAAAAAAAATAAAAAATACACATAATTAAAAATGATAACAAATCTGGGGCTGGAAAGATGGCTTAGCAGTTAAGAACACTGCCTGTTCTTGACGAAGACCCAGGTTCAAATCCCAGTGCTCACATGGCAGCTAACAACTGTCCATAACTTCAGTTCCAGGGGATCCGACAGCCTCTTCTGTCCTCCGCGAGTATTGCACAACATGGGTGCACTTACCTACATGCAGACAATACATGCATACACGTAAAATAAAAATAAAATATTTTAAAAAAACAAATCTTTAAAAAATTATTAGAGAGTCTGTGTGTCTGTGCAAGATTTATGTGTGCCATGGTATGTGTGTGGAGGTCAGAGTACAGCTTTGTGATTCTCTTCCATATTTATGTGAGTTCTGGGATTGAACTCAGGTTGCTGGACTTGGATGGTAAGTGCTTTTACCTGCTGAGCCATCTTGGTATCTTGCTGGCCCTTGCTTTTTATTTTGAGACAGGTTCTCACTAAATTGCACAGATTGAACTTGAACTCACTGTAGGCCAGGGAGTTCTTGAACTTGTGATCCTCCTGCTTTAGCCTCCCCAGGTCCTGGAATAACAGGTGTGCGCCAAATCACCTGGCTTCTAAAAGTAATTCTTAAATGACTGTAAAGTTGCTACTAGTTTTAGGGGACAGTAATTGGGACTTTGAAAACAATGGTGACGTTAATACAAATGTATGTATTCTATATGTATTTTATTTTAATACATAAGTGTTCGGCGTGCATGTATATAAATGCATCACATGCATGCAGTGCTTATGGGGGCCAGAAGAGGGCATCATATTTCCTGGAATTGTAGTTACAGATGGTTGTTAGCCACTGTGTGCTGGGAACTGATCCTGGGTCCTGCAAGAGCAGCCAATGTTCTTAACCACTGAGCTGTCTCTCCAGCCCCTATTCCATAGGTATTGAACTCCATTCTCTGTTCCTTGTCTGTATGAGGGATATTATCTCCACTGGTGAACAAGCAAGTCCATGTTCTTAAGGGACATATAGACTGCAAATTGTTTTTCTGAAGATTCTTTTTATTTATGTGTGTGTATGTACATGTGGGAGAGTGCCCACAGAGACCAGAAGGGGGAATCATATTCCTTGGAGTTGGAACACAGGCATTTGTGAGGCACCCAGTGTCGGTGCTAGAATCTGAACTCTATTCCTCTGATAGAACAGTAAGTGTTATTAACCACTGAGCCTTCATTCCAGGCCCTGCAAATATTTTTATGAGTTAAAAAGTGGTGAAGCCGAGCGTGGTGGTGCACACCTTTAATCCCAGCACTCGGAAGGCAGAGGCTGGCGCATCTCTGTGAGTTCAAGGCCAACCTTGTCTACATAGTTCTAGGCCAGCTGGGGCTACAGGGAGACCCTGTCTCAAAGAGACCAAAAAAAAAAAAAAAAAAAAAAGTTTGGTGATTGTTTTAGTTTGTTCTTCATTGCTGTGACAAAATACTCTGACCACTACCAACTTGGGGAGGAAAGGGTTTATTTAGCTTACATATCCCAGGTCACAGTTCATCTGGGACCCCAAGGTAGGAACTCGGGGCAACAACCTGGAGGCAGGAGCTGGAGCACAGGCCATGGAGGAATGCTGCTTACTGGCTTGCTCCCCCGGCCCCTGCTCAGCCTGCTTTCTTAAGCAACACAGGCCCACCCGCCCAGGGGTGGCACCACTCACAGTGGGCTGGGCCCTCCCACATTACTCATCAAGAAGATGCCCCTCAGACATGGCCACAGGCCAGTCCAATAGAGGCAATTCCCCAACTGAGGTTCCCTCAACCCAGGTGTGTCAAGCTGACACTGAAGCTATCCGGCACAATGATATTATTTATTTTGTTTTTATTTTATTTTAAATATTGTATATGTATGAGTGTATTACTTGCATGTATGTGAGTGCACCTGTGTTATGCAATGCCCATGAAGAGGGTGTTAGATCCCCCCAGAACTGGAGTTACAGACAGTTGTTAGCCATTGTGTGGGTGCTGGAAACTGAACCCAGGTCCTCTGTAAGAGCAGTTTGTGCTCTTAACTGCTGAGCCATCTCTCCAGCCCCTGATTATTTATATAAAACGAAACAGTTAAAGTTGAACCATATCTTGCCGAGCATTATGACACATAGGTCTATAGTTGTAGGTATTTAGGTGGCTGATGTGAACGAATGACTCTCTAAGTCCAGGAGTTTTGAGGCCAGCCTTCTGGGCAACGAGGTACTGTAGTCTCAAAAACAAACAAAACACGAACATAATAATTTAGTAGTATTATAAATGTCAGCATCTCTCATTTAGCGTTTTTTTTTAGTAAATTATTTATAACTTGGACTTTCTCACAAATATTTTCTTTACTTAAAAGGACCTGTGGCGTATTAATGCACCTAATTAAAAGGTAAAAAAGAACCTGTTCCACAGACATTGAGTCGCTAGGACATTGATTTAATTTTCCCCAAATGTTTTCCACCATTAGCTTTTTAATGGGACATTTCTGAAAGCCATGGAAGATGGAGGTGTCAAGCTCCTGAAAGAACGACTGGAGAAATTCTTCCACCGGGTGAGTATTTTGAATTTTATTTATAGCCCTAGTAGTATGAAAACACTTCTTGAGAGAAATAGACCTGCAGTTGGTAATAGGAGTCAGTAGCAGAGTGCTTACTAATTGAGGACAAGATGCTGGGTTTGATCCCTAGCACCAGAGGGGAAATGTTCAGAGCAATATAGAGGCAGATGGATTTGGTTTTTATTTTCTTATTTTCTAAAGATTTAAAAAAATTTTAAATTATGTATATGTGTGTGTGAATATGAGTGCAGGTGCCTGCAGAGGTCAGAGGCACTGGATTCCTTGGAGTTTGAGTTACATGTGGTTGTGAACTGCCTAATGTGGGTGCCAGGACTGAACTTAGGTCCTTTGCAAGATCAGTATGTGCTCTTAACCACTGAGCCATCTTTCTGGCCCTGAATTTGTTTTTTAAGTGCAAGACCCAGACCTTGAGTGTGAGAGTGAGAAGGGCTATGGCAAACCCAGAGCAGCAAGGACCTCCTCAGGCCTGTGCGCTGGCCTTCTGTTGGAGCAGAGCTTCCTCCCCACCCGGGACTCCTGGAAGCCTCTTGGAGTTTGCTGTGATTCGTGAAATCTGTGTGAGCAGGCTTACACCAAAAGCCATCCTACTGTGTGGTGGTTACTCAGAAAAATTTAAACAATTATTAGAGTTGCACCTTTTCTTTCTTTCTTTTATTTATTTAGTGAAGCAGGCCCTTACTTTGTAGCCCATATTGACCTCAAACTCAGCAGTCCTCTTGCCCCAGCCTCCCAAAGGGCTGAATATCTAGGTATGTGCTTGAGTTGCACCTTCTTAGTGGTTTTCTTCTATGAACAGGTGTAGTCTCTACTGATTCAAGGAAAAGGTTTGAGCTTTGCCACAGATTTGGTAACATGACCCTGATTTGTCCCAAGCGATGGTATCTCTAAATAGTTGCCATAAAACACCTATACTTATTTTTATATTTTTATTTCATATATTATTATTATTGTATGTATGTACGTGTGTATGTGCGTGCACACGCATATCATGGCACACATGTGGAGGTCAGAGGGCAACCATCAGGAGTCAGTTCCTTTCCATTGTGGAATCTGGGAATCCATCTCAGGTGATCAGGCTTGCATGACAAGCTGTTCTACCTGCTGAGCCATTTGACTGCTCCTCACACTTGTTATAGTTTAAATTTTTTTTAAATGTATGTGGGTGTTTTGCCTGACTGTACAGGAGTGCAGTGTGTGCGTGCACTTCCCATGGAGGCCAGAAGAGGGTGTCGGATCCCATGGAACTGGAGTTACGTATGGTTGCTAGCCACCATATGGGTGCTGGGAACTGAATATGAGTCCTCTGCAAGAGCAGCCAGTGCGCCTAACTGCTGAGCCATCTCTCCAGCCCCTCTCATACTTACTTTTGGATTCAACTTTTTTTTTTTTCTGAAATACCTTCAGTACCTTTATTTTTGGTGATTCTGGGCATAGAACCCAGGGCTTGGTATGTTAGGCAAGCATTCATCTTCACCTCTACTTCTAGCTGGTTTTGAAGTTCTTGTTTATATGGACTACTTTTCTTTGTGTCTTCACTTTTTTTCTTGTGTATGTGTTGTGCGCACGTGTGTGTGTGTTTGTGTGTGTGTGTGTGTGTGTGTGTGTGTGTGTGTGTGTGTACCTGGGGTGATTTCCTCTATCACTCTCCACCTTATATGTTGAGGCAGTGTGTCTCGCTGAATCCTGAGCTCACCCTTGTGGCTAGTCTAGCTAACAGTTGCTCCAGGGGGATCCTCTGTCTGCCTCCAACACAATGGGATTACCGATGCCACCATGCCCACTTGTTTTTTTGCACGGTTTCTGGGATCTGAACTCCAGTCCTCGCACTTGCATAAGGGCTTCTTCACTCCAGTAGTCACATTTAGGCCCTCCTGTGCTGTTTGTATCCTGATTCTTGTTCTCATCCTCATTATTCTGTTGATGGTCAACTTGTCCTGACCAGTGTCCTTCAGGGTGGCACTGTCTGTCCACAGTGCTGTCCTGTGAATTCAGATGCACTTGATCTTAGGAAGTGAAACATACTAAGTAAACACTCAATTGTTAGGTTTCAGCTTTTGTATTTTGAAATTGGTATTGATTTCAAACTTAGTTACTCATGACCTACCCGTTTGAGGTCTCTCCAGGTGTTGTCAGTGTGTAACTATGGTAAATAGTAGTCAGCATGAGATTCATTATTTCAGTTGTCAAAAGACCCTGTGTGAACACATTATTATTAAGTGTTATGCCTTGTTTTTCCCCACAGTATTTGCAAACGCTACATTTACAGTCTTGTGACTTACTCGACATTTTTGGTGGAATCAGCTTCTTTCCATTGGATAAAATGACTTATTTGAAAATCCAGTCCTTTATTAACAGAATGGAGGAAAGCCTAAATATAGTCAAGTACACTGCGTTTCTCTACAATGATCAACTCATCTGGTAGGTTCAGCCTGTGGCTTGGCCTGTGAGAAAAAGCAGTCAGGGCAATAAACACAGCAGTGACGAGGTGTGTGTGTGTGTGTGTGTGTGTGTGTGTGTGTGTGTGTGTGTGTGTGTAAGCTGGTAGTCTATCACACAGGAACTAACAGCAGGGGATATTAACAGGAAACTTCTTAGTAGTTTTTGTCAAAATAAGTGGAGGATTATTTAGAACAAAACTAGGGTAATAATTAAAATTACCAAACAGGAGGAGCTTAAGACTGGGTACATGACTGGGAAGATGTCTCAGTGGTTAAAGTATTTACTGTGCAAACATAAGGATCAGAGTTCAGATTCTCAGAAACCCACGTAAATGCTAGAAGGCAAGGAGGCCTGCCTATAATTCAACCCTAGGAAGGCAGAGACAGAGGATCCACAGAGTAAGCTGGATGATCATTATCAGTGAGCTCTGGGTTCGATTGAGAGACTCTGCCTCAATGAATAGGGTGGAAGAGTGATTGAGGATGATTCCTGACATCAACCTTGTAACATACACAAATGTGTGCACTCACACACATAAAAGCATGCATACATACATGAACAAATACCACACACATACACATGCGCATGAAAAATAAGGGGAAAAAACTAACTAGATACATGTAAGGCAGAGAAAATGGACCCATCCAGTAAAACATTTAGAGTTTTTTTTTTTTTTTTTTTTTATAAAAACATCATCAGAGACATGAGGGTGGAAAGCATTACTTTTCATACTTCATACATTCCTTTGAGACAGGATATCTAGGCTGGCCTCAAATTTGAAATTCTCCTGCCTCTGCCTTCAAAGTGCTGGGGACACAGGCACATATCTCCATGCCCAGCTTTTCATATTTTTTTTAAAGCTAGCTCTTTTGGGGGTTGGAGAGAAGGCTCAGTGGTTAAGAGCCTGTACTACTCTTTCAGAGGACCTCAGTTGGGTTCCCAATTCTTACAGCTCACAACTACCTATAACTCCAGCTCCAGGAGGATCTGATGCCTCTAACCTCCATGGGCACCTGCACTCCATGCACATACCCTTCTTCCCATGTTCTTGCAGAGGACCCAGGTTTGGTTCCCAGCATCCTCTTCTGGCCTCCACAGGCTTGCATGCATGTAGTGTACCTACATACATGCAAGCAAAACACTCACTTGCACAAAAATAATGTTTTTAAAGCTAGCTTTTTGGAAAAAAAGTCCTCACTAACAAAAGTAGAATATAAACAAAGAAATGATCAGCTGTCATCAAACCAAACTGTGTTCCTGTAGTAACAAAAATATTGTTTTGAAGAAAAGGTCAGTGCATAACAGTAAATGCAATCAGCTGTCTAAGATTAACCTCTGTGGAAACTGTGACTGACTGTGAGAGTACAGAACCCAGGTGACCCCAGTTGAGTAATGGCCCTGTCTGTCCCCTGTGGCTCAGACCCAACTGAGATGAGCTCCTGAGGCCCACTATGGCTACCCCAGCTCCTCTCTAGCTGCTGCTCTGGGGCCTCAATTTTTGTTTGGTTTTGTTTGGTTTTGAGACAGCATCTCCCTGTATTCACAGCTGGCCTGGAACTCACTATGTAGACCAGGCTGGCCCTGATCTCACAGAGATGCACCTGCCTCTGCCTCCTGAGTGCTGGGATTGAAGGCATGTGCCACCATACCCAGCTCACTTTCTTTTAAAAAAAATTTTTTTTATTATAGTGTCTATATGACGGGTGGGGGGCATGCATGTCACAGCATGCTTGTGGAGGGCAGAGGACAACTTTGTGGAATGGGCTTCCATTTTTACATGGGTTTCTGGGATTGAACTCGGGTTGCCAGGTTTTTATGGCAAGTACCTTTATCTGCTGAGCCATCTCACCAATCAGCTTATATAAGGTATGTGGCCATATTTTATCAGAAAACTTGAGTTCAGCTAATAGGTAAGTCAGTACTAGTTGCCCCCCCAAATCCATACCCTACCAGCTTGAAATCCTGTAGTTTTATTTTAGAAGAGAAACTGGATAATCCAAAGAAATTTGAATCCATTACCCATCAATTTAAACAACTTGGATTTCTGTATAGGCTTTGTTTCCTATGAAGACAGCAAATTTCAGATGAAATCTGTCTTTTTAATTTAACAAATAGTTTTTCAGGCAATTTTATGCAGTATTAACTGACCCTACTCTAGTTTCTTTTTGTGGTAGCCGAATCACGTTAGCAAAATGAAACTTCTTTTTTAAAAAAATGATTTTACATTTATTTATTTTGTGTGTGTGTGTGTATCTGTGTATGTGACACCATGATGCATGTGTGGAGGTCAGAGGACAACTTCCAAGAGTTAGTTCTCTCCTTCCACTACATGGATTTCTGAGATTAAACTCTCGTTAGATGATTGGCTGCAAGCACCCTTACACTGAGCCATCTCACCAGTCCCCCAGAACAACTAATGCTCCTGTGAAAGGGCCTTGACACGTGCTAGGCAAGTGCTGTACCACTGAGTGACATCCTCAGCCCCTCAGTTGACCTTCTTGTCAGGAGTCTGGCCTGTTTTTCTGAGACTTTTTAGTATATTGATTTGCTTTTTTAAGAATTACTGCTTTCATGAGTAATTGCCTTAAAAGGTTCTTATTACTCAGAGTGGACCTGCTCTTGCTTCTGATTCATGTTTGATGTTGTCTAGGTGGTAACAGTCTGGACTTACTGACCCCCAACAGAAAGAGCCTGCATTAAGTGATAGCAGCCTCTGCTAAAGGAAGCTCTCAAATGGGGCTATTATAGGGGATAAAACACTTACCTGCATGCATATGGCTCTGGGTTCCATTCCTAGCACCGAAAGCAAAAAGGAAGAGGAGGAAGGAAGGGGAAGAAGAGCTGAAGGAAGAAGGAGGAAGGAGGAGGAAGGAGAGGAGGAAGAAAAGGAGGTAGGAAGAGGGGAAGGGGAGGAGGAGCTGCTCTTAAATAACTTGATATCTCCACCAGAAATGGGTGAAGACGAAAAGCCACTTAGCATTGACGTGTAGATGGCACAAAGTTATACAGATTAAAAAGAAAAGTTTGACAAAGCAGGAGTGCCATGTGTACATAAATGAAATCTGTGAAGAGCTAAGCTGGAGGAAAGTTTTTGGTGGCTTGTTGTTATTGTGTGGTGATATATGTGGGGCATATGTGCCATGACATGCATGTGGAGGTCAGAGGACAACTTTGTGAAGTCAGTTCTTTCTTTTTACCTTTACTCACTGAGCCATCTTGCTGGCTGTGGAGTTTTGTTTTGTTATGTTTCTAGGGTTTGAGGCCTTTTTTTTTTTTTTTTTTTTTTTTCCCTCATTGTGTAGCCCCGACTGGCCTGGAACGCACTGTGTAGACCAGGCTGGCCTGGAACTCACCTGCCTCTGCCTCTTGAGAGCTGGGATGCCCAACCTCTCCTCCTAACCCTCTCCTTATTTGAACTTGGAACTGACTGATTTGGCTCAACCAACTGGCCAGTGAACCCCAGAATCCTCCTGCTTCACCTCCTCATCGTAGGGATTGCAGTTGTGCACTGCCACACTGAGTTTTTTACTTATTTATTTGCTTTTTACTTTTCCTATTTTCTGTTTGAGGTCAGAAGAGAGCATTAGATCCCCTGGAACTGGTGTTACAGGTGGTTGTTAGCCACAGGTGGGTGCTGGGAAGTGAACCTGGGGCTTCTGCAAGAGCAACCAGTGCTCTTAACCACTTAGCCATCTTTCCAGTTCCCTACACATAGCTTTTTACATGGCTGCTGAGTATCTAAATTTAGGTCCTCATATTACTGTGATAAGCATATTACCCACTGAGTCATCTCCTCTGCTCCTATAACATTTTAGTTGTGGTCAGGACTCATGAGAATCAAATCTTGAAAGCAGAGTGGTAGTGTGGGAGGAGGGCCAGGTGCAGTATCTGAGTGAGGAAGTCTAGAAGCGGGGCACCACTCTTGTAGAAGAGAGACCAGGACTGGTCCTCACATGGCAGGGAATGGGAGAGTGCAAGCACCTCTTCTGTGTAAGGCCCCATTCATTGTCTCTTTACCTCCTTTCAGCAGCAGAACTATTTCAGAGTCAGGATGTCTGCTGAAGTTTATTTTTTCTCCTCCTTTTTGTCTATACTGAGACCCAGAAAATTAAAACCCATATCTGTTTCTGAGACCTGTGGTCAAGTTCTATATCTGTAGTGCAGCAGAATTTTCCAGAATATGGTGTTACTGGGTAGGCCAGGAAGCTGAGACATGTGCAGTGTGGTTACCACTTTCCCTAGGTAACCTATGTGGGTTTCACCTAAGAGGCAGGTGTGCTGGGACCTAAAAAAAATTATGCATGTGCGTGTACAGGTGCATGTGTGCCATGGCATATGTGTGGAGGTCGGAGGATAATTTGCAGAAGTCTGTTCTCTCCTTCCACCATGGATTCTAGAGATCAAACTCAGGTTGCTAGACTTGTGCAGCAAGTGCCTTTACCTGCTAAGCTGTGTTGCCTGTCCTGTTTGGCTTGTTTTTCAGGTGGCATTTAGAATCCATGTCTGTGGAGCAGCAGCTGTTAGCAAGTTAGGATCAAGTGCTAACATACTTCTTTCCTGAACTTCCAGTCAAACAATGCCATCTTCGTGTGTGTGTGTGTGTGTGTGTGTGTGTGTGTGTGTGTGTGTATAGTTTTGTCTTTGTTTTGTTTGAGACATGGTCTCAAGTAGCCAGGCTGGCCTTGAGCTCACTATGTAGCCAAACATAACCTTGAACTGCTGACCCTCCTGCCTCAACTTCCTGAGTATTGGGATTATAGGTGTGCATCACCATGCCCATTTTTTGGTTGTTATTTTTAATTAATTTATGTGTCTGATTGTTTTCCTTGTATGTAAGTGCACTATGTGTGTGTGATGCCCACAGAGGACAGAAGAGGGCATCGGATCCCCTGGAAATGGAATTACAGACAGTTGTTAGCCACCATGTGGGTGTTGGGAACAGAACCCAGGTCCTCTGGAAGAGTAGCAAGTGCTCTTAACCACTGAGCCAGTTCTCCAGCCCCTTTTGTTTCTTTTTGTTTGTTTGTTTTGTTTTAATGTGGTTCTGGGGATGAACCCAGAGCTTCATGAATGCTAGACAATACCATAGAGCTACAACACAGCCCAGCATCTTCATATAATATAAAGGAAGAAAAAAATGGAACTTTAGAGCAAAGACAAGACAGGAGGCAGTTCTAGACTTTCACCCATGCTTTCCTGTGTTCCAGGAGTGGACTAGAACAGGACGACATGCGAATTCTATACAAATACCTCACCACCTCACTGTTCCCCAGGCACATCGAACCTGAGGTATGCGTCCAGTCTAACAATGGAGCTGTGTACAGTGAGTAGGGGGGGCGGAGGGAGTGGGTTTCAGTGGGCACAGGACACTTCTGAGATGTTTTGTTAGCAGTATGATTCTTAATGATATTTAGTTGTTATTGGTCAGTCACATCAGAAACCATGTGTGTCAGCTTTTCTGTAGTATGTTGTGTTCAAATGCAGTAGCACAGGTATGTCTTGAGGAGGAACAATTTGTGAGAAATCTGGGTTTTAGATAGGTTCTGAGAACTCTGAAAATGCTGGTTAAGCCTGCAGTCTCTTCGTTCCCTTTGTAAGAAGATGACATATTGCCTGGCTGGCTTTGCCACTCTGCTGCCTAATTTCCCAGTTCTCTACAGAGAATGTTGAACACCAGCATGTCCTTTTGTAGCTTAATTAGGCTGGAAGTGAAAAGTATTCATAGCTCATAAAACCATCACTTTTGGCTTAAATGCAGTCACATGTTTGAGCTATTAACTCATGAGCTCTCCCTCCATCCTCATCCCACCTTCCTTCTCTCTCTAGTTTTTAAGGCTTTTTGAAAGAACAAGAAAAATCTCTCTCATAAAGAATTGAAGAAAGCCGGGTGTGGTGGCACATGCCCTTAGTTCCAGCACTCAGGAGGCAGGTGGATCTCTGTGAGTTTAAGGCCAGTCTCTGGTCTCCATAGTGAGTTCCAGGCCAGCTGAGACTACAGAGAAACCCTGTCTTAAAAAGAAAAAAAGGAAAAACAAGGAGAGACTAGAGGTGTGGCTCAGTGGTTGGGTGCTTGCTTGCAAGCATAAGGCTCTGGTTCCGTCCACAGCACCACAAGTAAAAAAAAATTGACAGAGGTTTTGGGAAGGGCGTTGTGCAGTTGGGCTAAACAGTGGCAGAGGTTATGGAGTACTTCTTGTGTTCCCAGCCATTGTTCCAGTGCCCAGCATACCTGTAGCCTCATGGCCTTTTTTGTTTGTTTTTTGGTTTTTGTCCGGGGGTGTGTGGTATTTTTTGAGACAGGGTCTCCCTGTATCCCCAGCTGTCCTGGAACTCACTATGTAGACCAGGCTGAACTCACAGAGATCCGCCTGCCTCTGCCTCCTGAGTGCTGGGATTAAAGGCCTTTTATAGCAGTCCCCAGAGGGTCACACTGTCTAACAGGCGGGGTTGCCGGTACTCAGGGGGCATCTACCCTGCCTAGGAATGCTAGCTTCTCATCACAGAGTCCTGGAGAAAAGCCACTTAAAGGAAGAAAGGTCTGTTCTGGTTTATAGTCTCAGGGGTTTCAGCCCAAGGCTGGCTCTGTTGCTTTGGGCTTAAGGCATGGCAGAGTACTGTGGTAGTGGGGGCTTGTGGCAAAGGAGGCTGCGTGCCACATGGTGGAAAAGCAGGGAAGGAGGAAGGAAGGGAGAGAAGGAAGAAAGGAGGGAAGGAGGCAGGGAGGGAAGAACCAATGACAAGATGTACCCTTCAAGGGCATGCCCCAGTGGCCTAATTTCCAAACTAGATCCCCGTCAGCTCTGAATTCATCAGTGGAGTAATTGAATTCCATTGATGAACTTAGCATATTTGTGGTCCACTCACCAACTGGGGACGAAGTCTTTGCCACATGAGTCTTTGGGGGCCATTCTAGATCCAAACTATAAGGATGTTTTCCCAGCAAGGATGTGACAGAGGCAGGACCACCTTGCCAGATCCCAGAGCCCTGCTTGAAGTACAGTCCTGAAGCAATACTGGTGCTTGTCAGCCTGTGATAGTTGGGTACCATGACAGAAGATTGCATCCACTGCTTTATTATGTGTCTAAAGAGCAATATGTGTAAAGTGGGAGGCTATGACACAGACACAGTGTAGCAGTGTGAATGTGCACATAGAAGATTTTCCCGCATGGATGAGAGTTGGGCCTGGCATTTTCACCACTGGGAAAAATGTTTGGGATCTTTTTAAGGTTATATGCTAAAACTATATAGACCTGAAAAATACCAAACATTTAAAAAAGAATAACAAGTTTTAGTTACATATTTTTTCCATTTATTTTTTGTTTATGGGTGTGTGTGTGTGTGTGTGTGTGTGCACACGTGCACAGTGCTCATGGAAGCCAGAAGGGGGCATCAACTTCCCTGGAGCTGGAATTAGGGACAATTGTAAATCCTGTGTGGGTGCTGGGAACTGAACTTAACTACTGGGCCACCTCCAGCCTCCTGAAACGGTATATTTTTAGCCAAATCAACTAGGAATATGTAACAGATACAAATCCTTGAGGAAGTTTGATGTCATGACTGAGGAAAGAGACTTTTCCTCAGATAGGCCACGTGCTGGTGTATGCCCTTGCTGTTCAGAAGCTGCAGTTTGCACGTCTGTCAACTTGGGTTTCTACATGTAAGAAATGGGAAGAGGACAGGCTCCATCGGGTGGCATGAAATGACATGAAGAAGCTTGTGCCACATGGGAAATCATAGCTGTTCTCACAGAAAGAACTGAATGTTTGTGGGACTTAGGCTTGGATGGAGCTGTTATGGCAGTCCTGGTTAAAATCCCTCCATCTACACATACTTTTGTAATCTACCTTTTTTTTCTTGCTGGAGGGGTATATTGGGAGAGTGATATAGCAAAATGGCATGGAACCAGCTGATGGACAGGGACCAGCTGATGGATAGGAATGCTATTTGTCAACCTGTGGAAGTAAAGCATCTAATGGGTCTCAACATTCCATGTGTTTGCAGTTGGCAGGAAGGGATTCCCCAATCAGGGCAGAAATGCCAGGAAATCTTCAACACTACGGAAGGTAGGACTTTGGTTGTTTGGTTTACAATATTGGGTTTTATTATCTTTTCTGGTAAAGATAAAAGTGTGAACATATAATTGCCTTTGTACCAGAAAGGAAATTCTCTTGTTTCTGTGAATCTAAACTGTGGTGTTATCACATTCCGATTTAGTGTTTACCAGTTGGCATCTAACTTCAACAGAACTTTGCTATCCATTGAGTAGGAATGTATTCTGTTTATGTATCCTGTTTATAATTTACCTCATTGAGTTGAGTCATCTCTGTGTTTACTTTTAAGATTTCTTACTGGACCCTTGAACCTTAATGATCCAGAAGCAAAATGCAGATTCCCCAAAATTTTTGTAAATACAGATGACACTTATGAAGAGCTCCATTTAATTGTTTATAAGGTAACAACTGTTTTTCCCTCAGTGTACAGATTGATACTGAAGTAAACCTCCCTTTGCATGTGTACACCAGTACCAATGCAAACCTCTTGACTGTTTCTTGGAAAAGATGTTGCAAGCTGTAGTTACTGTAAAACTCAAAATGGGTGCTCTTCTTCAGGAGGAAGTTTGTTTTCAGCCCTTTCAAGCCATTTTGCCACAAGGGAAAGGCTAATGGATTAAGGGGGACGCTTGAGCATCTGAAGTCCCTTGAGCCCACAGCCTAAAGGCTGTGAGGTGCTGCTGCCTGCCAGGTCAGTGCCTTCTGGTGCTGTGCTGTGGCTACACTTGAGTGAATTCTGCTTTTGCTCTGAATTCTAAAGTTGTAGACTGACTAATCATAAGGCTAGTATTTGGTTTCTGTCAGGATGCTGTCTTGTGAAAATCTGTGGGTATGTTAGGTTGAGTCTTATTTTAATTTTGGAATGAGCCCTCTCTGTGTTTCCCAAGACTGGTCTTAAACTCCTAGGCTCATATCATCTTCCCCCCCTCAGCCTCCTAGTACCTGGGTCTACAGGTATCGGCCACAATGCCTGGTTAGTTTTCTCTTTGTTTGTAAAAGATTTAATAATTATTTATGTATGTGCTTTGTTTTGTTTTTTGAGACATGGTCCCCTTGTAGCTCCAGCTGGCCAGGAACTTGCTATGTAGACCAGGTTGGCTTTGAACTCACAGAGATCCGCCTGCCTCTGCCTCCCCAGTGCTGGAATGTAAAGGTGTGCACCACCACACCTGGTGGCTGCTGCTGCCTCCTTTTTTTTTTTTTTTTTTTAATGCATTTGTGGTGCAGGAAAGAAGACCGATCACCTATTTTTTCACACCTGCAACTGCAGATGTTTTCAAAGGCTTTGAAATTATATCCTAAGAAAACAGGAGGGGATGCCAAAGGGTGAGGAAGTCCTGTTGCTGTCAGGAAGATACAAAGATTAAAAGTGATTCCTAAGAGAGTTCTGGGAGTGGAGAAGGCTCCAGCTAGCCTCTGAGGAGACAAGGCTGATGCAGGAGACACCTGCTCTTCAGACGCACAGAAGCTCCTGACTGGGGTGGCCACCTGAGGACCTGGAGTGGGAAGGGGGCTTGGAAAGAGGAGTAAGGGAAATCTTGTTTATAAGCCAGTTAGTCCCTCCCCTTCCAAAAGCACACAGACAGGCCTGCAACTGAGCATCTGCCCCTGGGAAGACTGAGAGTCAATTTAAAAGAAAGTGATCAAGCCAGAGAGACCAAGCGTGGCCGAAGTGAGCACCTGTGCCTGAGAATCAGGCCAGTTCTCCCTTAGAGGTTCTGTCTGCCCATCCTGACTGACTCTCTCATCCTGTATGCCACGTAAAGCTTCTATCCCTCAGCAGCTTTTGGTTCTCTCATTCATTTTTTTTTTAATATTATTTTTATTTTACGTGTATGAGTGTTATGCCTGCATGTAGGTAAGTGCACCCGTGTCGTGCAGTGCCCTCAGAGGACAGAAGAGGCTGTTGGATCCCCTGGAACTGGAGTTGCAGACAGTTTTAGCTGCCATGTGGGTGCTGGGATTCGAACCCAGGTCTTCTGCAAGAACAGTCAGTGTTCTTAACTGCTGAGCCATCTCTTCAGCCCCATGGTTCTCTCATTCTTAAGTATGATCAGAAAAGAAGGCTACAGGTCCTGAGAGGGGAAAAATGGTTCTGGGAATAGACAGGAATTTAAAAATTAGTATACCACTGAACTGAAGAGACGACTCAGCAGTTAAGAGTTCTTGCTGCTGTTTCAGAGGACTTGAGTTTGTTTCTCAGCACCCACATTGGGTGGCACAGCTGCCTGTAACTCCAACTCCAGGGGATCCAGTGCCCACTTCTCCCCTCCGTAGACCCCTGCACACACGTGCACATAGACACCACCTCCCACCCACACAAATAATAATAAAAATAAATCTTTTAAAAGTCATCAGTGTGACCTGGCATTGTGGCATACACCTTTGCTGGAGGCAGAGGCAGGCAAATATCTGTGAGATCAAGTCCAGCCTGGTCTACAGAGCAAATTCCAGGTCAGCTGGCCTACAGGGAGACCCTGTCTCATAAAAACAAAACAAATAATTAATATTCACTGATTGGAGAAGTGTGCATCAGGTTGAAGCAGGGTGGTACAAAGGGACCAGGTAGCCAAGTACAGTGACTCATAGCTATAATCTTGGCACTCTAAGGGTCAGTGGAGGAAGGTCATGAGTTTGAGGCCAGTCTAGTATACAGAGTGAGATTCTATTTCAAAAAACAAAAGCAAAAACAAACAAAAGCCCCACGTTATATAGTAAACTTGGTTTCATTGAAAATGTCTCTCAAAATTAATATTGTGATACCAGATGTGGTAGGGCACGCCTTTAATCCCAGCACTTGGGAGGCAGAGGCAGGAGGGTCTCTGTGAGTTTGAGGCCAGCCTGGCCTACATAGTGAGTTCCAGGTCAGCTGGGGCTACAGGGAGACCCTGTCTCAAAAAAATGCTTTTTTTTTTTTTACATTTTATTTATTTTTTTAATTTTATGTGTATGCGTGTATTGCCTGCGTGTATGTAAGTGCACCTGTATTGTGCATTGCCCAAGAAACTCAGATTCCCTGATACTGGAGTTACAGACATGTTAGCTTCCATGTGGTGCTGGGACTCAAACCTGGGCCCTCTACAAGAGCAGCCAGTACTCTTAACTGCTGAACCATTTCTCCAGGCCCCATTTTAGCCATTTAAAAAAATTTTATTTTCTGTGTATGCGTGTGTTGCCTGTATGTAGGTAAGTTCACCCGTGTCATGAAGTGCCTGCGTAGGACAGAAGAGGCTCTCGATCCCCTGGGACTGGAGTTACAGACAGTTGTTAGCTGCCATGTGGGTGCTGGGATTCAAACCCAGGTCTTCTGCAAGAACAACCAGTGTTCTTAACTGCTGAGCCATCTCTCCAGCACCAATTTTAGCCATTTTTAAGTGTATGATTCAGTGACTTTAAGTATATTTACAATATTGTGCATCCATTACCACCATCTCTTTCCAAAATTTTTCAGCATCCAAACAGAAAACTTACTGATTATGCAGTCACTCTTCTTTCTTCCACCCAGAAAATACTGTTTTTTAAAAGATGTATTTTTATGTGTGTGTGTGTGTGTGTGTGTGTGTGTGTGTGTGTGTGTGTTCCAGGCAGCAGGTTCAGGGCCTCGTGCATATTAGGCAAGTGCTGTACCACTGAGCTGCATCCCAACCACAGTGTAGATTTCCTTCTCAAACCCAGATGAAATAGAGAAACAGACCTACACACAGGTTGCACCTGTTCCTACATGGCAGTGGAGTGGCAGCCCTGAGAAAGTGGACCAGTGCAGAGGTCCGCTGGGAGCACAGACCAGAACAACAAAGGAAGTCTCCAGATGACGGCTCCTCATGAGGGAACCCAACCCCTCAGATGCTCTGCAGTGGAGCAGGAAGAGGGCTTTTGGGCTCTGATGCTCTGGATTATAGGAATGTTAACTCACAAAACATGCATGAGAGCAATGAAATGTGGGGTGTGGTAAGGTATCAAGGAAGTGGGGAGTTCAGGAAAACAAACAAGAAGATGTGGCCCAAAGCAAACCTAATTGAAATGAGGCATATTTTAAAGCAGTCATTGGAGTAGGGAAAAGTCTTTTGTCTGTCCAGTTAGTCTTTTGAGTGCTGGGGACAAGACTGAGCTCTCAGTGAGCCTGGGGCAGTGTGCTTACTGGATTTCCACTTTAAGAGTCAGAGCAGCTTCAAGTGTGATAATGGCATTGTGTTAAGTGGATTCCTTAGCAGCTTTATTGGCATGCAGTTGATAAACCATTATATGTCATCCATTTACGGTGGTCAAGGGTCGATTCGGTGGCCTTGAACTGCAAAGTTCAGGAGTCCCCAAGGTGGTCTTCATTTTGGACAGCAGCTGCTTTCTTGAGGGAGTCCCTAAGACTACGTACAGAGTAGTAGTTTATGGAACTAGCAGGCTCAGAAAAGCCTTTATGCTCACCGGTGTAACTTGTTACAGTAAAAATGCTGTGTGGATAAATATCAGACCAGGGATGAAGAGATGGCTCAGTGGTTAAGAGTGCTTGCTAGGCAAGCAGGAGGACCTGAGTTCAGATCTCAGCACCCATGTGACAAGCTAGACTAATCTCATGCACACCTGTAACCCCAGCTCTGGGGAGCAGAGACAGGAGGAGTGCTTAGGGCTTGCTGACTGCCAGCTTCGCTGAAAAAATGTGAGCTCCATATTCAAGGAAAAATCCTGCTTCAAAGGAATAAGGTGGGCAGTGATAGAGGATGTCTGATGCCCTCCTCTGGTCTCTGCACAGATGCATGCATCTACACACATGCATATAACCCCCTCTCCCCTCCAGGGAAGAGGCATGGGCAGCAGTCCCTAGGCTGGAGCATTGCAGACAGCACAGGCCTACCTCTGTGGTGGTGAGGGGAGAGTGCCATGGTGCCCTCCAGGGGGCTCTGAGTCTCGGATGGTCTCAGCTGGTCTCCGAGCGGCTGACCTTCCTCCCCAGTTCTGCTGACACTGAAGGGCTGTGAAGGATCTACCTCTGCTTTCCTTTGGTTGAAATTTTATTGTCTGGCTTAGGTGTCAGGGTTGTTGCAGACCCCAGAATGAATTTGGGAGTTTTTCTCCTAGTTTTTGGAAGACTATGAAGGATTAGTGTTAATTCTTAGTAGAGCCATCTGCATATGAGTGTTTCTGTGTGAGAAGTTTAAAAATTATTAGTGTCTTGTTATAGACTTGTTTTTCTGTTTCTTCTGGAGACAATTTTAGTAGTTGGTCTTTCTAAGGAACTTTTGAATTCTATGCATTGGTTTGCTGTTGTTGTACACTTTTCATGGTGTTTAACTGTATATTACTTCAGACTCCTTGTCCCATAGAGCCCATAGTGTGGTGGTCAGACTCTTCTCCCTCGCTTTCTGGTTTCTGGCCTGTTCTTCACTGAGCACCAGTTGCTTTTGCTTATGTCTATGTGACTCCTCTCTGAATGGTACTATTTCACCCTTTGTTTGCCTCAGAGTTCATTCCTGCTTTTCTCCCAGGATCTTCAGATGGAAGGTTAGATTATTAGTTTTAGATCTGTCTTCATTTTGATTCATTTGTCATTTTGAAGACTATCCCTGTCCCTGTGAGACCTTATGTAATATTGTACTTTGCTGTGCTAAATTTCAGCATTTTGGGTTTTGTTTGTTTTTGTTTAGTTTGTTTTTTTAAGACAGGGTCTCATGTAGCCCAGGCTGGCCTGGAACTTGCTATGTAGCTGAGGATGACCTTGAACTCCTGATCCTCCTGCCTCTACCCCGAGTGCCAGCATGTATCACCATACCTGGCGTTTTTGGTTTTATTTATGGTCTCGGTTGCTGTTACTCGGTAATGTCAACTGTGGTTGTCAGAATAAAGGGAGGCAAGATGACAGCAGCATGTGGTTGCTTTTCAGTTAGATTAATGAAATTGTCAAGTATACACAGAAAGACTAGAACAGGCAAGCCCCAGGCGTACACCATAGAGCTGAACTCAAAGGTGCCAAGTTTGCCTCTGTCCCATCTGCATCATTTTGTTTCAAGAGCATTTTAAATCATGTCACTTCACTTGTGTCCCTAAGTGATGAGGACATGTTCCATAGCTTGCCACCATCAAGTCTTCCCTCCTTACTAGCAGCCACTGTCCAGTCTGCCTCCAGATCACTCTTAATTGATGAAAAAACATCGTTTACAGTTGAGTTCTTGAAATCAAGACTTAAGCAAGATCACCACGTTTGCTTACAGCATTAACCTCCTCTTTGTACCAGTTGTAACCTCTGGTTTGTCTCCCCGCAGGCCATGAGTGCAGCCGTGTGCTTTATGATTGATGGTAGGTGCCTGCCCGTGTCTGCAGCCTGACTGGGTCAGTTCTCTGCAGCTTGCTGAGCCCTGTTCTTAAATGATCAGTATGTTGTCGCAAGTTGTGGAGAGGCTACTTGAAGTACTGCTCCCCCTTGGGGATGCCTGCCACCTTCACTGACCCCTGCTAATATTTTAAAGTTTTGGCCTTCCCACTGGTCAGTGGTAGGACACAGGCACCTCTCAGTGTCTACAGCTGCGGTGGGATGGCACTGGTGTCTATACAGGACTCAGGAGTAAATGAGGTGTATTTGAGAAGAATTAGTCCATGACTCTAAGTACTATGTCACATGTCTTATACTGATAATTAACCATCTTAGGTCTGCCCAGGGCAGGCAGCCAGTTTGCCACCCCTCACAGAGGAAAGACTTTTTCATGTTAAATATAACTAACTCGAACTTTCCTATTTCTCTTCAGTTTGGGAGGGAAGGGGGATCTGATGATTTGTTTGATTTCCTAATTATCTTTATCTCATTTCATCGATTAGTAAATTTTCAGCGGAATACTATAAATATTGAAAAGTAAAATGATAGTGACCTGTTGACACCAAGCATTGTAACACTGAATGGCGTTTCTTAAATTCTCACCAGCCTCCATGCAGCTGACATTGGATTTTTGCCGCAGACTGGACAGCATCGTTGGGCCCCAGCTCACTGTCCTGGCATCTGACATCTGTGAGCAGTTTAACATCAACAAGAGAATATCTGGGTTTGTGCTCTGCTTCATGTGTACTCTCAAATGCTCTCTGCTCACAGGCAAATGACAGTAGCTTTTACTTAAGAGTGAGAATGGTCTTAACACCACAGTGTTTTCCCAGAATCTCGAAAGCAACGCTCTGCTGCTGGGTGCCTCTCAGAGTTTCCCAAGTACTGCACTGACGATTCTGTGTCCCAAGATGGTGGGGGCCAGGTCTCCTATCAGCACCTCCCCTTGGCTCTCCTTGGGCTAGTAGCATGAATCTGTGGGGTGGGGTGTGCCAGATGATGTTGCCTTGCATAGCCCGAGGCACTTTGCCTTCTGGTGTGTGGAAATGTGACAAGTGGAAGGGCCATGCTTCACCCCATGTGGGGCACCCCATGTGCTATAACCCCGTGTGGGCCATCCCGTGTGCGGCCCCATGGAGCCTGTCAGCTTCAGGAGACTCAGCTTCTCTGTTGTCTTCCTTAGAACACTGTTCCTTTTTTCTCAGGATTAAATAGAACCGTTAGATAAAGTGGCAGGTGGCGGGGGGGCGCTGGGGACATAGCTCAGTAGTCTGTTACATGAGATCCCATCTCAAGAAAAAATGGAGTTGGGGTCCTGGGCCGTAGCTCAGTTGATGGAATGCCTGCCTGGCATACGTGAAGACCCGCTGCGTTGCAGCTGTGCTGTGACTGGGCAGGGACCAACAAGGGTTCCAGGGACACATGGACCTGTACTCCCAGGTGCACCCCTCTTCTAACTAGGGAGGAGTAAGGAGAAAGAGCCTCAGTATGGTGCTCATCCATTTCCTTTTATGATACCCAGGTTTCTCAACTTAGAATTTAATTTTTACCTTTGGTTAGGCTGGATGAAAGGAACAGCCATGGCTGGAGGAATAGCCAGCCACAAAAGCACTGGCTGTGCAAGCACGAGGACCTGAGTTCCAACTGTGAGATGGCTCAGTAGATACTGGCGTATTTAATCTTAAATTCCATCTCTCCAATCCACATAGTAGAAGTCTTGAAAGAACTGAGTCCTGCAAGTTGTCCTCTGACCTCCATACATAAACTGTTGCATATGCGTGAATATACCCACTAAATAAACAAACAAACAAACAAATGTAAAATCATTTTTAATAGAGTGGAGAGTAACTGAGGAAGACACCGAGTGTCAGCCTCTGACCTCTATACATGTGAAGAGGTATACACACCAATAAAAAAGGAAAAGAACAGCCCAGAATCACATTTATCCAGAAATCTCACACCTGCTTGGCCACTGTAGCCATCTCAGAGGCAGCCAGAACAAGTGAAGCCATTGTAATTTCTGCCCCACGCAGCCATTTGAGCCCACAGGAGTAGCTCTGCCAGTTTTCCACATGGCTTCAGTGCTCACAGTACCTTCCCTTGGCATGCCTTCGAAGTCTGGGAAGAGTCTTATACATCTCATTCTTAAACATTAAAAACTCCAACTCAGCAAAATGAATGCCATTTATTCTTGGGAGATCCCCACACACCAGTGTATACCTTACAGTGGTGGGGGCGGGGAGCAAAGTTTGGCTCCAGGACACCCAGTAGATATCCAGATCTGCAGATACCCAAGACAAATAAAATGCATGTTCAGTATAGATGTTGAGTCCCCCCCCCCCTTTTTTTTGTTGTTCTTTGTGAGGCAGGATCTCATGTAGTACAGGCCTATGTAGCTGAGGATGGCCTTGAACTCTTGATCCTCCTGCCCCCACCTCCTGTGTGTTGAGATTACAGGTGTACACCACCATGCCCAGTTTGTGCAATGCTGGAGATGGAACCAAGGGCTTCCCGCATGCTAGGCAAGCACCCTACCAACTAAGCTATGCCCCAGCCCCTTTCTAGTTTTTAAAAAAGGCTTTATTTTTATTTATATGTATGTGTATTTTTATTTATGTGTATGTGTTGTTCATGTGTATGGGTTCCCTGATAGACATGAGGAGGCTGTTAGATTGCCTGGAACTAGAGTCACAAGTGGTGGTGAGCTGCTCAGTATGTGTTGGGAATTGAATTCAGGTCCCCTGCACGAGCAGCAAGCTTTCTTAACCACTGAGCCATCTCCGCTGCCCTTGTCTTAACTTCCTAAAGCATTTGTACAGAAAAGAGTTATAAATGGGCAAAAGATAGAAGCCAGAGAATGTTTGTAGTTAGACAAGCAACTAAAATTCTAAAGTTCTAGTAATTGGAAGTTTACATCTAATTATTATGCATTTATCCAGCCATTTATTTATTTATATTTTTCTAAAGATTTATTAACATAAATATTTATAAATATATTTATTTATGTATGTGTATTTTGCCTGCATGTATCTAAGTGCACCACATGTATGCAATGCCTGCAAGACCAGAAGATGGCACTGAATCCCCTGGAACTAGAGTTACGGACAGTTGTTAGCCACCATGTGCATTCTGGGAACTGAGCCTGGGTCCTCTACAAGAGCAGTCAGTGCTCTTAACCACTGGAGCTATCTCCCCTGTCCCAGTTAAATTGCAACTCTTTCCAAGCATCTTTAAAACATTTCATCTTTCCAGTCATCTTTTCTTGTAATTATACCTGTTAGTTTTATGAACCTACTAAGAAATATCCCAATTTTTATAAACATTTTATTTTCATTTTCCTAGAAACTGAATCACCACATTCTATATTTGCCTAGATGTAAAGAATTTCAGTAGTAACCCACTTGTCCAGAGGTTGGATTTTCAGCACCTCACCCTCCAGAATGGGGCTATTCCAAGTAAGCACAGAAGGCTGCTAAGCCTCAGTGGCAGACCGTGCTCAGGCCCCTCGACTTGAGAGGGGGCACAGGAGAGGGTAGTGAAAGGGGCACCCCATGAGCTGTGCAGCCAGCTGTCCATAAGTGCCCTGGGAAGTTCACAGGCCATGACTGGGGTAGGGGCATAGTGGCACTGCCCCATCAGTTTAGGAGAGCAAAAGGTGTGTCTCATCCTCTTCCATAGAGGAGGCTAACAGATCTTAACATGACTTTCATTGAATACAGACCTTTGTTACTGACAAGGTGATCTTTGGTCACATGACTAGTTCATTTACATGGTGCACAGGGGTCATTTCCCAGCACCCTGCACAGGTAGTAAATGAGATCATCCTCCTAGTCAGGAGTGGCAGACTTTCACCACCAGAACAGGTAGGAAGTATCTTAGATTTTATGGACAATACTAGGCTTTTATGTAGAAAGTCATATAGTGGTTAAAATATTTTTGGTATTTAAAAAGTAATCCAGCTTCTGGAAAATTTTATCATATTGGGTAGCAGATAAGTTATTGTTGAGTGCAGTGTCAGTTACAGCTAACTAACTGATTCTTGATTTGAAGGTCGAGCCTTTGAAAATACAAGGCCTTTGTCACATAGCTTAATTTTATTTATTCATTTATTCATGTATTTATTTATTGTGTGTGTGAGGGGAGCAGCTTGTAGGAGTTGGTTCTCTATTTTCACTATGTGGGTCCTGAGATTTGAACTCAGGTCTTTAGGCTTGGTGGTGGGTGCCTTTTCCCTCTGAACCATCTTGCTGACCCTGCCATACAGTTTTAGTTGATGACTTTTGTGTTCATGAGGTTCTTTGGGGTTTGTTTGTTTGTTTGTTTGTCGTCTGAGATACGGTCCCTTGTATCCCAGGCTGACCTTCATACAGTTTTAAAGTTTCCACCATGTGGCCATGTGGTTTGGATAATTATTCCTTCAGGCTGTTAGCATCTCAATGACCTGCTTTTACAGGTCTGAAAAAGAACCACAGTTTAAGTTCATCTACTTCAACCATATGAATTTGGCAGAGAAAAGCACAATCCACATGAGGAAGACGCCCAGTGTGTCACTCACGTCCGTCCATCCAGATCTAATGAAGATTCTAGGTGACATCAACAGTGATTTTACCAGGTAATTCTAGCAGCTTCTCAAAGTAGGTGTTGCCTTTCAGAGGATAAATTTTAAAGACATTGTATGTATTTTTTATGTTGTTTGTTTAGACAGGGCTCCTTCTGTAGCCTAGGCCATCCTTGGACTCAAGCCTTTGGAGGCATTTGTCACCACACCCAGCTAGGGAATTTTCTTTGTATCCAAGTGACCCAGAGCCCTTGCAAAGGGACTGAGGCTTGCTACCCCGTCCCCCCTCCGTGTGTGCCACTCTAGACCCCAAGACCAGAGTTGGCTTTCACTCCCACGTTGTGGCCTGAATTCCATAAAGACCATTCAGTGCCTGTTTCTTGTATTAATTTTTTTTCTCCTAACAGACTAGCTGTGTACCTAACAAGCTACTTCATTTGAAACTTTCTTACAGAGCGGATGAAGATGAAGAAATCATCGTGAAAGCCATGAGTGATTATTGGGTTGTTGGGAAGAAGTCTGATCAGCGGGAGCTCTATGTGATTTTGAATCAGAAAAATGCAAACCTGATTGAAGTCAATGGTAAGTAGGATTTGCTACTTAGGTAGAATTTAGTGCCAGTAGTGTTCAAAACTGTCCTTTCGTTGTATTGAGAAACATGATAGAAGGCAGGCATGGTGGTGCGTGTCTGTGCTCCCAGCACTCAGGAGGCTGAAGCAGAAGGGTCAGGAGTTCAGGATCATCCTCAGCTACATAGTGAGCTTGAAGCCAGCCTGAGCTGTGAGATTCTGTCTCAAGACAAGTAAATAGGGTCTGAAAAATGGCTCAGTAGGGTAAAGGTACCTGCTACCAACTCAACTCATGATTTGAGTTGAAGTCCCAGGACCCACATGGTAGAATAAAAGAACCAACTCTCAAAAGCTGTTCTCTGCCTCCCACGTGTGTTCTGTGGCATATGCTCACATACACACATACACGTGCAAAATAAATACATAAAATGTGAAAATAAAAGTTTTTTTTTTGTTGTTGTTGTTGTTTTTTTTTTTTTAAGTAAATGGGCTGGAGAGATGGCTCAGTGCCTAAGAGTATTGGCTGCTCTTACAGAGGACTTGGGTTTGGTTTCCAGCACCCACATGATAGCTAACCATCTATAATTCTAGTTTCGGGGATCTGATGCCCTCTTCTGACCTCTGTGGCCATTGCACACATGAGTGCATTTATAAACATCCATACAAAACACACATTTAAAAAAAAGTAAATAGGAACCTCTTGCAGAGGATCTATGTTTGGTTCCCCAGCACCCATATCAGGTAGCTTACAACCAGTTCTTTGAGCACCCACATGCAAATGGCTTACACACATACACAAAAGTAAGTAAGTAACAAAAGGCAAAAATACAGGCCAGGCATGGAGGCACATGCTTTTAATCTCAGCACTCAGGAGGCAGAGGAAGGTGCATCTCTGTAAGTTGAAGGTCAGCCTAGTCTACCTAGCAAGTTCCAGGCCAGCTGGGTCCACAGTGTGACCTTGTCTCAAGAAAAGTAAAGAAAAAGCATGATAGAACCAGATGTGGTGGCATTGGCCTGTAATCCCTGCACTCGAGAGGTCTAGGTAGGAGAAGCAGAAGTTCAAGACCACCTGCAGTCACAGTAGTAGGAACGTATTTCAAAAGAACAAACCAACTCTGGCTGGGTGGCGCAGGCTGTCATCCCAGCTACTCAAGAGGAGGATCCAAAGTTCAAGACCTGCCTGGGCAACTTAGAAAATCTGTGTCCCAAAAGTTGAGAAAAAAAAAATGTTAGGGAGAGGTGTTAAGGATGTAGCTCAGGGGTAGCAGGCCTGCCTTGTGCCCATACAAACCTGATTGGTCTCCAATACTGTGAAGAGGAGGGGGAGGAAAAAGAAAAACAAAACCCCATAAAACAGAGAAAACAGAGCAGGTCATGACTGTTAAGATTTTTTTATTTTTTACTTATGTGTAGGAATGTTTTACCTGCATGTATCTAAATGCACTGTGCTGTGCATTATCTGTGAAGGCCAGAAGAGGGTGGCAGATCCCCTGGAACTGGAGTTACAGATGGTTGTGACCCACCATGTGGGTGCTGGGAACCGAACCCAGGTCCTCTGCAAGAGCAGCCAGTGCTCTTAACTGCAGAGATTTAAGCAGTTACCCCTATTTTATGTTTTTCTCTCTCCTGTGGCACAGGAAACCTAACAGTGCCTAAAAAAAAATTATTTTCTACAATGCTAAAAAAGAAACCAAGACAACCCTGGGCTCTGCACGCTTTTTATAAAAGCATCCTTTCCATATGCTGTGGTGAGAACATGTTTCTCTGTGTAGCACTGCCGGATTCACCAGCCCTCAGCAGCTGCACAGGCAGAACACAGACTTCATTTTCCCCTTCCCACCTTTCCTCTGCACCATGGGACCCAGTGGCTCCTTATGGGGTCCTGATGAGTGTTACCCTAGGAAAGGGTGGCACCCTCTTCCCTGGGTTGGGCCTCTGCCGGTCTGCTGTAAACTGGAGCAAACAACAGTGCAGGTAGGGGAGATGTCCCCATAAGCAGCCATGAAGGAAGGGCCACAGTGTCTGCAAGTGCATCTAGCATAGCTTTTCTTGTTTTTGTTAGGTTGTTTTTTGGTCTTTGTTTTTGTTTTTGTTTTTTGTTTTTTGTTTTTTTTGAGGCAGGGTCTTCCTACATAACCCTAAGTGGCCTAAAAAGTTCTATGTAGACCAGGCTGGCCTTGAACTTGCAAGTGTTTTCCTGGCTCTTGCTCCTAAGTGTGATTACAGACCTGCATCACCATGCCCAGATTTAAAATCTTTATATTAACTCTTGTATTAGTATTTGTGTACATTAAAATCATTAGTGCATGTCAGCCATAAACATGGGAGTTTAGGACAGGGAGTACAGCTCAGTGGTACAGCATTTGCCTAGCATTCTGGGTTCCATCCTTAGCACTACAAAAGTTAAAATAAAATGGGAATTTAGTGAATCCAGGTCACACCTCTGTGATGTGCTCAGTCTACATCTGGAGGTTGTAGCGAGCTTTGTGCTACACCACCACCTTCCTCTAAGTCTGACCAGTGGGCGGCTGAGGCACCCCTCACGCCAGGTTATAGCTCTCTCAAGCCCAGAGAAGCGGTGTGCTCTCATGCATTTGTGAGGTGCTTCCCCACTCTGTTAGCTTTTTTTTTGGTATGCTTCTGAAATTTCAGGTCAAAGTTAATGTAGACACTACTTATTTCCTAAGTTTATTCCCAAAGAACTTACGGCACTCATACACACTGCAACCTGTAGAGTAAGAAGCTGTTTTCTTTAACACACTGTTTCCTGTTCTTTCTGCAGAGGAGGTAAAGAAACTCTGTGCCACACAGTTCAATAACATCTTCTTCTTGGATTGACTAATGGCTCACCAGAAACATCTCTTAAAAAAAAAAAAAAACTCTGCAAACCTTCTATTTACCATTGCAAGTTATTGGTCATATTGTTGACTGGATTAATGACAATAGTAAAGCAATACTTGCTTTGAAAAATCAAATTTCTACTCAGTCTGATGATCCTGAGGTTTTTAGATTTTAAATATTTATGTGGGATTAATTAAAGGTAGTCAGCTGTATCTGTCATTCCATTCTTTTGACATCATGTGAATATTTTACTGGAAAATAAGACTAATAAATTGTTAAAGTTTTTAAAAATTCTTGGTTTGTGTTTGAGTCTTCTGTTGGTTATTTCACTACACTGGCCAGTGGGGGCTTAAAAAGTTATGGTCCGGCGTTGAAGAGATGGCTCAATAGTTAAGAGCATTTGCTCTTGTTTGATCTTGCAGAGAAACAGAGTTCAGTTTCCAGCACTTACCTTGAAGAGCTCAGAGTTTGGGGGGGCGGGGGGGGGACTCTACCCATTTATGAGACCCCAACGGGATGGCACTGATGTAACTGAGTTTATCTGAGTACTGCCACTATTCAGATCTCACCTAATGCAAAGAGCTTGATGACAGCACTCTGTGGTGGAAAGGGTCCTCACTGTCACAAGGCCCTCCCCAGGGGCCATACCTCCCAGTATCCAACAGCTGAGGTGAGTTCTTATTAAATTTTACTTAACCTAGTTTTTGGTGATCTGGGCAGCCTGGGGGTCTGGGTGAAAATTAGCTAACTGGTCTGCAAATCATGGTGTTTCCCCCAGCCCCCAGAGTGACTTTCTTCAGCTTCCTCATCTTAACCTCCTTGAGTCTATTACACTAGAGAAGAGGAAATGGCTTTGTCAGTTTGTGGTATTTTAATTGTTCTTTGGGCCTAAATAATACACAGTTTCCATTATGTTTTTCTCTGCCTGTACATTAGTAATTTGATTGTGATTTTGGTTCCCCACTTTATTGAAAAACCAAAGACTTCAGTATTGAGTTCCTTGAAGACTTCATGGTTGGGTTTTCATGATCTGTGATGTGTCATTTGGTAGTTTTGTTTTGTTTTGGAAACAGTGTCTCCCTGTAGCCCCAGCTGGCCTGGAACTCACTATATAGACCAGGCTGGCCTCCATCGCACAGAGATCCACCGCCTCTGCCTCCTCAGTGCTGTGATTAAAGGTGTGCCATCATGTCCGGCCTGATGTGTGATTTGGAATTGTTAAGATTTTTCGTTTCTATCAGCTTTTATTCTTGTAGTCTGCATCTACAGCCTATGCATTAGTTCAAACTTTTAGCTGAGTTCCTGTTTCTCTGGTGGCTGTCAGCTTTGCAGAGCAATGTGTAGATGTGTTTGTGTAATAGTACCTTTGGGTCTTCACTCCTTTTCAGTTATCTTAAATTGTATGTGTGTGTGGTGTATGCATGTGTGTGTTCATGTGTGTGCAAGTGTGGAGACCAGGGGTCAATATGAGGTATTTTCTGTTGCTTTCCACCGTGTGTGTGTGTGTGTATGTGTGTGTGTGTGTGTGTGTGTGTGTGTGTGTGTGTGTGTGTTATATGCATGTGTGTCTTTGCACATGAATGTGTTGCAGGTACTTTGTGGAGGGACCAGACAGTCTACTTGTAGGAAGCAGGTTATTTGTGCTGGCACTTTGAGGATTCCTGTCCAGAGTCTAAGCAGCGGCGCAGCAGAGCTCAGCCTTTTATATCATTCTAGCCCCTCTGTCTCCCTTACGTGGTGACACATATTATGACTGGATGCTCTAAGGCTACAGGGTTGTGACATGAAGACTACAGGAATGTAGCAAGTCTGAGCATGCGTGCATTGACACTGATTAGACCACACTGTCTTTTCTTTGTTCTCCTTCCTGATCCCCAAGGAACTCCTTCCACAAGTAAGGTGTATGCATGTGCGTACACATGTTGTATATGGGTGCACTCACGTGTGCACTTAGGTGGAGGCAAGAGGTAGGTCTCAGGTGTTTTCCTTTAGTTCTCTCTGCCTTATGTGTTTTTTTTTAATTTCATTTACTTATTGTGTACATGTGTGTATGTATGTGTGTGGGTACACATGGGCCAAGGTGTGTGTGGAGGTCAAAAGACAGCTTGCAGGAGTCAGTTCTCTTCACCATGTGGGTCCCAGGGATCGAATTCAGCTTGTCAGGTTTAGAAGCAGGTGCTTTTACATACGGAACTATCTTGCTGGTCCTCCACCTTATTTTTCAGACAGGATGTGTCATTGAATCTGGAGCTTGCTGGTTAGGCCAGACTGGCTGGCCAGCAAGCCCCTGGGGACCCTCCTGTCTCTATCTCCGAGTTTTGACACTTCCTGGGGAGATGTGAACAAATGTCTACTCATCCCAGATAAGGACAACAGACAAAAGAAAGGCTACCACCCAAGTCCAACTTGGTACACCAATGAGTTTTATAGGAGCAGAAATGATTCAAAGCCAACTGCAATCCCTAAAGCCCATCCCAGCATGAGTCACAGCTAAAGAAAGCAGGAAACCTTTTGCACACTTACTGCACAGCCTGCAACAGGTGGAAAGTATCCTTTCCAGGCAGTTCCACTTGTGCCAGTATCTCACTATAGTCCTGGGGCTTTATATAAGCTTGGGAGGGAGGGGCCTGGTCAGTTTCAGGACTTCCTGAAGCTATTGAATTGTTGGCTTCCTGAGCTTAAGGAGCTTCTCTGCAGGATGGAGTGTCTTTTTCTGCTTAGAACAATCTATGTTTTAGCTGTGGTGGTGCTTGCTTTTAATCCCAGCACTCAGGAGGTAGAGCAGGCAGTCTCTGTGACTTCCAGGCCAGCCTAGTCTACATAGCTAGTTTGAGGCCAGCTGACTTTATAGTGAGACCCTGTCTCAAAAAACAACAAAAGAGCAATCTGTCTTAATGAACTTCCCCCCAATGTTTTGAAGGACATTACTACACAACACCCCCCAGTGCTGGGATATGTGGGTGCTGGGTATCTAAACTCAGGTCCTCATGCTTTCATAGCAGGCACTTTACCAACTGAGCCATCTCCCAAGCCCCTCCCCCAATATCTTTATTTTTGTGATACAGATGCCTGCTTTAAATTCTGTCTGTAATCCCAATTGCTATTTCCGTCAGCATGATGTAGATTCATCTTGCACACATATACTGTCATCCTCTGTGGTTTTAAGACATATCTCTTACAGAGTGATGGTGAAGCCAGGCATTGTGATGAATACCTGTAATCCCAGCACACGGAAGACAGGTTAGGATTGCAGGTTTGAGGCCAGCCTATGCTATGTTGTGAGACCCTGTCTCAAAAACTTTGGATTTTTGTTTTTTTAGTGCAATTTGGTTATCTCTGGGTTTGTTTTGCAGAGGCAAAAGAGAGAGCAAGTTTAATCTTTTTACTTTGAAGGGCTGGAGAGAGAGCTCTGTAATGGCCCCAAATGGAATCCCCAAATTGTATAGCCAAAGTAACTTCATTTTACTCATTTTGTATAAAGAAGCTACTTTAAACTTCAAAGGCTAGAAAAAACAGCCAGCTTCAAGGTCAAGTGCCTGAACTTAGTTGCATCCCCTTAGAAGTGTGCTTTCTTTGGAGTAGCTGACCTTGGTCAACTCCCAGACACTGAAGCTGTGTTTCTTGCATAGCCAAGAAGCCTAAATAACAATAGTAATCAGAAAGTTCCTTACTGCCAAGATCTCTATACATCTGTTAAGAGAAGGACTTACAAAAGCTTGTTTTGGCTTCTGTAGTTTGCTTACCTGTTAACTTGGGCTGTTGTGACCCTACTCTGGACCAGGTGTGATGAAATTCTTATGGTATTTATGGTTTTGACTTTATAAGTTAGTTTCACCCTCCCCTCAGGGATGTGGGTCCTGAATCTGACTAAGGGACCTCAGATGGCTATAGCCCTAATAAATTTAACCAATTAAAATTTGAATTGGGTCTGGTGGTCTTTTTCTGGTGGTTTCAAACTCCATATACTTACTGTTCTTCCAGATGACCCAAGTTTACTTCCCAGTACCCACATCAGGCAGCTCACAACTGCCTGTAACTCCACCTCCAGGGGATCTGATGCCCTCTCTGGCCTCTGAGGGCACTGCACTCATGTGCATATACACATACATAACACATAAAATAAATCTTTTTTAAAAACCTGATTACTTTGGTGGCAACTGGCATATATACATTTTTTTTGCACTGTCTCTGGTGTTTTCTTTTTACTGTCTTTCTTTGGTTGTCTTTGTGCCCCAACCCAGCTCTCTGCTGGACTGATGTTTTTCCGTATTCCTCCTGCTAGTGTGGAAGCTTTACGTTGCATTTTTATTCTTTTGGTGGTTCCCCTTAATATCTAACATGTATTATTAACTTTCTGACAAAGACTAAAAGTAGGCTTGGGTAGCATGCTTGTATAGCATGCCTGAGGCCTTGGGCTCCATCCCAAGTGATCCAACAAAAAGTATTCATTGACTCACCTAAATGAACGTTGGCTCCACATCTTTTTAAAAAGATTTAGTTATATGTATGTGTGTTTGTGCGTATATGTACCCTTCTGCCCTCAGAGGCCAGAAGAGGGCATTGGATCCCCTGGAGCTGGAATTACAATCTGTTGTTAGCTGCTATGTGAGTGCTGGGAACTGAACTTGGGTCCTCTGCAAGAACAGCAAGTACTCTTAGCTGCTGAGCCACCTCTTCAACCCGTTTATATTTTTTGAGACAGGGTCTCACTTTGTCCCCCTGGCTAGCCTGGGTCTCCCTATGTAGCCCAGGCTGGGCTTGAACCTGTAGGGTTTCTCCTGTATGCTGGGATATGCCACCATGCCCAGCTAACTTCAATTAAAAAAAACAAAACATTTAGCACAAATTCGTTAGAAGGTGAATGCCTACACACTTGTTCAGTTTTGTTTTGCAAATGCAGCCATATAAAAACCTGACACAGTTGGCCAAGAGAAGTATCTCAGAAGGCTAAAATCAGAAGCTGATTGCAAATTTTATTCGTGGGACATTTGTCACAAAACTCATGTTTGAGCATTTACATCTGCATCCTTGCAGCTCAACTGAGACACTGAGTGCGTCACTTCTTCTTCTTCTTGCCAGAGCTGGCCTTGCTGGTCTGGGTCAGAGCCAAGTCCTCTTTAGGAGGGCTTGGTGTGAGTGGTAGTGAGGATGGGACGTCCAGCGACTCCTTGAACACAGTAATGTCAACATCAAAGTCTTGTCTCTTGGCCTCTTCCTCTTGGAGGATGCTTAACCTCAAAAGCAAAATGGGAACTTAGCTAATTTTTTTCTGTAAGAATATGAAACCAGATTTTTAAAAAGATTTATTTTTATTTTTTGATTTTGTGTATATGTATGTGTGTCTGTGCGTGGTTATATGTAAGTATAAGTGCAGTGCCCATGGAGGCCGGAAGAGGGCGTCAGATCCCCTGGAGCTGGAGTTACAGGTGATTGTAAGCTGCCCAGTGTGGGTGCTGGGAACCAAACTCAGGTCCTGTGTAAGAGCAGCCAGTGTTCTTAACCTCTGTGCCATCTCTCCAGCCATGAAACCAGTTTTGATATTGTTTCTCATGGATGTCATCCACACCCATGTTTCAGCAGTGCTTATAAATAAGTGTCAATTGCTGTATCTAGACCATTCCAGGTAAAAATCTCCAGGTATTTACTGTGATCTGGGAACCACTTGTCTCTGGCAACCAAGAAGCTAGTAAACGGCCTTCAGAGGACCTCATGTCTCCTGTGCTCTAGGGGCTGTTTCATATGACCAAGGGCAGGTTTCTTTGCTAGGCCTGCCTCAATGTGACTTAAAAGGTAAGTGTGGTGTTGCTGCATGCTAACTATATCCTAAGCTCTGTGTTCTCACAACCATAGGCTCTTTTCGTTGCCACAGCAGTGCTGTGAGGTGTTACCTGCACTTACCTGTAGGACCCTGCACAGTGAGGCAGGTGTCAAGTGGGTGGCTTGGACCCAGTCTAGCCCTAGTGCCTGTGCCCTCAGCCAGCACTTCCCCATCACTTCTTGGTGTTAAGTCTCAGGATACAGGCATTCCCTACGTAGACACCTAAGAGGAGCCGGTATCCCACAAGTGAGCACATGATTCCCACAAAACTTCTGGTAGAAAGCAAGCAGGTTTCTCCCCTCCTCTACCAAATGGCTCAGCTCTGAGGCTGTCTGCCTGGGGTCAGCACAGGCCCTGGAAGGGAATCAGTCCCACAAGGCCACGCTCTCCTGATGCCAGTGACAAATCTGGGTCCACTCTACTTGACTTAGTGGCTATGAATCACAAGTGCTGTGACCCCCTCCTCAGGTTCAGTAATTTACTAGAGTGGTAAACGTGTATGTGTTTGTGTCTGTGCATGTGTGTATGCACAGGTACATATGTGTACATGTGGAGGCCAGAGGTCAACACTGAGTGTCATTCCTCAGGAGCCATCCACCTTATTTTTTGAGACAGGGTCTTCCATTGGGACCTGGGGCTCCCCAGTTTAAGTAGGCTGGCTGATCAGCAAGCCCCAGGGGTATTCTTGTCTCCACCTCCCCAGGGCTGGGATTACAGGTGCTAACTACTGCTCCATGGTTTTATGTGGGTGTTGGGGATCCAACACATGTCCTTGTGTGGTAAGCTCTTTACAGACCGAGCCATCTCCCCAGCCCCAAGAAAACACTTATGAAAGGGTATTATAAAGAATATAAATGACCATCCAGAAGAAGATAAGGGTCCACAAGCACAGGGCTTCTTCCTTACAGAGCTTGGGGAATACCACTTCCCCATCACCAACCTAAGAACTCCAAACACCATGCACCATTGAGCAGTTCTATGGCGGTACCATTGTGTAGGCATGGCTGTTTCAACTAAATCATTGACCATTAGCAACTGAACTCAATCTCCAGTGCCCAGTCTCCACTGAAAGTGCCTGCCAGCATGGTTGGTTCCTCAGGCAACCAGCCCGGAGCAAAGCTCTCTGGGACCCCAGCCACAGTTATCAGCATACAAAACACATATTTTTCTTTCCTTTGTTTTTGTTTTGAGGCAGGGTTTTGCTATATAGCCCAGGCTGGCCTTGAATTCATTACGTAGCCTAGGCTGGTCTGGTGGCAATCCTCCTGCCTCAGCCTCCTGACTGCTGGGTTGTGCATATATATAATGTGTGAGTTTTTTAATTTTCTATTTATTATTTTTATTTTATGTGTATATGTGTTACCTGCATGTATGTTAAATGTACCAGTACATGCATAGGAAAGGGCATCAGATCCCTGGAAGTGGAGTTACAGATGGTTAGCTGCCATGTGTGTACGGGGGACCAAACCCAAGTTCCCTGCAAGAGTAGCCATCTCTCCAGCCCCTAACTTTTTGCTTTGTTTTGCTTTGAGACAGGGTCTTCCTGTGGTCCCAGCTGGCCTGGAACTCACTATGTAGACCAGGCTGGCCTCCATCCCAGAAATCTGCCTGCCTCTGCCTCCTGAGTATTGGGATTAAAGGTGTGTGCTACCATACCCAGACATCAT